ACATCAATGACATATGCGCTTGCTTCACGCACGGGAAACCATTCATCTTTGCAGATGACCTAAAAGTAGCTTATACATTCCAACGTGATGACTTAGGGAACTTCGAGAATGTAGTACAGAAGGAATTAGATAAAATGGCTGCTTGGTCGTCCCTATGGAATCTCCAATTTAATCTGAACAAATGTGGCTGGATCTGCTTCGGTGCACCCTCAATTGACCTGAAATTAACGCTCCAATCTGCTAACCTAACAAGACTCCGAAGTGTCGTTGACCTAGGCCTGAGGTACTCTAGTGACTTGACATTCTCAGAGCAAGTAGCATCACAGACTAGAAAATCGAGGATGCTCTTAGGATGCATACTCAGGAACTTTCACGACAATGAAGCCAAGCTAATTCTGTACAAAACATGTGTCAGACCACTACTAGAATACTGTCCATTTATTATAAGCAGCACTCGCACACGTGACAAGCTAAGGATGGAAAGTATCCAACGATATTTTACCTCAAAACTGCTTGGCTACGATTGTAAGAAAGACTACATCTCACGGTGCATGATCCTAAAACTCGACCCACTTTGGACAAGGCGACTTATTATAAACCTAATATTCTTCTTTAAGGTCCTTCACAAAATATCTTTCTCAGGTAACAGGGACATACAATTCGCACAGGAAGGTTCTTACGATCTGCGTAACCAAACTTCCACAGTGACAACTCATTCTTTTAAGTCAACACTCCGTGAAAACTTCTTCACAGTCATGTATTCTAAAATATGGAATAGCCTACCCCTAGATGTCAGAACTTGCTCTTCGGTTACAAGCTTCAAACGCTCTCTATACAGACTGTTTCACTCTACTGATTATATTAATAAACTATTTACTCCTAGAACGAATCAAGCACTAATCTACTACAGCACCTAAAAGACGCACTTCAACACCCTTAGCAATCTTTAAACTATAAATAAACTAGCAGCATGGATGCATAAAGACATAGTACGGAACATACAGGATTAGTTTACCCTTAGAAATAGGACCTATCCCTCATTGTAACCTTCAAACGCTTGCTATATAAACTGTTTTGTCCAAATGACTATCCCTACCAGAACCCATCACTTATTTCTAAAACGCATCAGTCATTAGAACACTAAAACGCTCAGACTCATTAATACACATTATGACATTAAATAAACTCTAAGACTTCGCATAAATACGTGAAAACACAAATACAATATAGAAAAATGTTTACTTAAGTATAATATACAATTAAGATAAACATTTATAAATGCATAATATGTAAATGTCCTTTTCATGTTCACATACTTTCTCTTTCTGGTATTTTGCTGCTCCTATTCATCTTCTGGTCGAGGTCGAACAACCCTGCATCTAAACTGAAATGAGGATTAATTCCAAACCGTCTATCTCATAACCACTCAAATTCCATGAACGATCCAATTCTACCATTTGAAGACGCTGGCGAACATGCTGTACTTACCTCAATATTGGTTGGTTATCGTATGCCGACAACCACGGGATGAAAACGAAACGAAGTCGATTTTCCCGCCCAACCAGGAGGACAACTGTACTATTCAATAACTATACAGACTAGTTCAGAAAATGTGTATTTATATATATATCAAATATTGAGCTGTTGAAACATTATTAACTTGTAGACAATCTACGATTTGATATTATATCATACTTGATCGTGCCTGTAAAATTGGCATGCATTTTCATGTAAATTTATATGTTTATATGAGAATATACATTATTATTACATTATTATTAAATGAGTATTCATGATCTTAAACGAAGAGGCAACTGGTCTTCAAATAGTTTTCAACATTTCACTCAACTTACGAATACAGTCCGCCATGCAGACACAAATGGAGCAAATGGAGAATTCTGGAATCGATCTCGGCACCACTTGATGCAGTAAAACAACCCAACATGACCTTATCTAGTTTTCGTATCCACGATCAAATTTCTTTCCTGTTATAAAACTACGATAAGACTACTGAAAAAATGGAATAAATATATCACTGATCTCAACATAATATATCAATAATCTCTAAGCCAAGGGTGCTGTTCACAACAAAGTTATGTAGGAGAATCGACTTCAAGCTTTATTTTTCCCAGATATCTGTATTACATTCATCTGATGTTTGGGTTTTTTGTTAATGCGAAGACAATATTTCTATATCTCTTTATGTGCTACATAAACAAACTTTATAGCAGAATGTTCCGACTGATTTTGATGTCAGAAAGAACAACCAAACTGTAAATCCACTATACATCAAATTTTGTGTAATTTATATAATAACTTATCCATGCCTGTACAATTGGTATGTTCCTGCATAAACAGGAAGAAATATATATATATATCGTTCCACAACTCTTGAGATCAAACCCCTTCGGTTCAGGCGCCACCGACTTAACCTCATTGTCTCATTTAAAATACTCAAAGGAATAGTATAGTTCCCCAATAATAACCTTAAATTTACTTCTTCGACGTATGAACTACGCAGCAACGTCGTATTCTTTGTCGGACGACTTCTCGTTCCAACTTCTTTACAGTTCAATATAGGCAAATATGGAACTTCTTACCAAGTGAAATCAAAAACAGCACCACAATACAACGATTCGCCCATCTACTTAATAAATATTTCTCCGAAAATAATCTTGACACAGTTTATCATATGCTGAAAATTCATGAAATTGTTTCTTCCCCTCTGAATTACGTACCTAAACAGCTCTGTTTATTCAAAGTATTAACAGAAACGGTCATTATTATCAGACATATTTAAAATAATCTACGTTTCGCTAACGCTGTTCTCAGTTTCTTTTTTTAGTTGATTCAATTATTTGTTCTGCAAGCATCATCGCGAAATATCCGCAATCCTTTCAAGCAAACCTGCGGTGGAATACACAGCCTGACATACTCGCCATGAAAGCTGCATTAAACCTACATGAACTACCCTCACACCTCATGTCATACCTCTTCAGTCATTCAAATCGATTTAACCCCAGCTACTAATTGCCAAATTGATCAAATATTACATATTATATTATATACATTATTATATTACCATCTACATCCACGGAAATCCCAGCCCTACGCGGGATCGTCCAAAAAATCAGCTTAACTACACTGTGAGTCTTAAATATTAACGGATTTTATTTTACCGTTATGTTATTATAACACTCAGTAGTCGAATTCTTCTGAACCATCTATTATAATTAACTACTGTCTCTTTTATGCATATATATACATAACTATGAAGCTTTGTGTATTTTTTCTAAACATTTCATATTGCCTCTTCGTTCCCAAGTTCATAACTAAAATCTAGAAAGTAGACTGCAAATATATGATTCCCTTACTTTTTTATTGTACATTTACATTTTTTAAATGCTGTTAGTGACAATACATACAAAATAGATGACTGAAAGCAGTTGTTCATGCTATGAGTTTCGTTGAGTTAGCTTGTGAATGCAAAAACTGTCTGTATGACACGTAGCAATAAAAAGAAAGATTTCTTTCTAAAAACAAAAGGAGAATTTCGCCAGGGCCTAGCAGATTAAAAGGTGGGAAGGTGGTGTATGCTATACAGTGGATATGAACCTGGGGACTTAAGAGGACCACCCTTATCTGTGGGAATGCTATCTATTATAATAATCATAATGTCTATTCTCATATAAACATATAAATTTACATGAAAATGCATGCCATTTTTAAAGGCACGATCAAGTATGATATAATATCAAATCGTAGATTGTCTACAAGTTAATAATGTTTCAACAGCTCAATATTTGATATATATATAAATACACATTTTCTGAACTAGTCTGTATAGTTATTGAATAGTACAGTTGTCCTCCTGGTTGGGCGGGAAAATCGACTTCGTTTCGTTTTCATCCCGTGGTTGTCGGCATACGATAACCAACCAATATTGAGGTAAGTACAGCTTCAAAAAGGGATTGTCAGCCAAGTCTCGTAAACCGTTAATGCCCAGCTCTCGCTACGCTCGGGCCCACGCTGTTCTTAGAAGTTTTCTCAGAAACGCTTAGTTATAACGGACGAAAAAACCAAAACACCGATCTGCCGTTTGATATTTCTGTATTGTTACACCAACATATAAAAGGAATAAGCGAACTAAGCAAACTAAGGTCTGAAAACAAATATTACAATAATAAATCTCTGTATTACTTCTGACGATGTTTCAATCTTCTTTCTGAACAGCGACCGATGAGACGATGACTGTCGTATTGATGCCTCCGCGAAAATTGGGGAAGTTGATTTTAAGCAAACAACCATGAATTGATCGTTCAATCTTCAACTCCATTGACAGGGATTGAAATCTGTTTTAGAAAAGTAAAAGCGCTAAGGTGAATCAATAAAATGTAATGAAATAGGTAAGTGCAAGTATCATTAATAAATGCATCTATAAAGGAAACTCCCTAGGCTAACAACGTTCATTTGCAATGTAAAATGCTACCCATATATGTCTTGCTATCATGATGTCCACTTTCGGTTTTAATACATTTATCTTCATGCCGGTTTTTTATTTCATACGTATTTGTGCATGTGGTGCACAACCGTACCCTACAAAGAATACCCAATTCGACCAAAATGGAGACAAAATGGGGAAATAGTAAGATTTTCCCCATTCACCCCATTTTGTCCCCTTTTTTGTCGCTTTTTCCCATTTTGTAAACTCAGGTTGTCCCCAGAATTCGCACAATTTCCCCATTTCGTCCCCACAATTACCCCATTTCGTTCCCAGAATTTCCCCATTCTGTCCCCAGAATTACTCCATTCTTTAATGGAATATGACCCCTACAATCTGCATAATTTCCCCCTTTTTTAACGAATATTCCACCGTTAACCTGGTAAATTTCCTCCTATCACTCATTTACTTTTGTCTTATATTGTTTACGGCAAGCAACTCAAAAGTCAAATAAAGGTTCTTTACGGAAAAAAAATTATATTTAATTTTTTGGGTTAAAGGAAAATAGTTTACAAGACTTCAGTAAATTAATTCTTTAGGATTAATGAACAGTTACTGTTGCGATTGATACACACAAGTAGAATGATTGCCTTGTGCCATGATATATGAATGGACTTTTACTAATTCTCCCCATCATCAAGTAGATCCATTGAATTGTCCTGAAAAGAAACAAAAATTATTGATTAGGATAGTAATCCACATTGGCACTTATACAGACATTTGACACTATAATAATGAAATACTTAACGTGTTTATTTAGCCCTAAAATTTTATTTAATTAATGAGTATAAGTAAAATTATTTGTCTATATAATAGTAATACTCACACTTAAAAACCTTAAGTTTCAGTAAATTTTACAGCATTTACTTAGTTAAATTGTAACTTACAGAAGAGATCCTCTGGTCACTCTTCTTATTGTCAACTGCAACCTTCAAAAATTAAAAATACAATTTAGTTGATTGATATTTATACCATGAAACGGTTTGTAGTGTAGTAACATTAATTTAATAAAAACTGTTTACTTACTCTTCACCGGCTCTCCCTTTCGGCCACGCGATCACGTATGTCATGGAAGTAGGCCTTCACAGTCTTTTTTAAAATTTTCTTAACTTCGTCCTCAGACATTGTAGCAGAAGCGAACCTGCTGACAATGACGGCTGAAAGAAATATTTAAATAAAGCAAGCTTACACATTATAACTGCATAAAACTGGCATTTAGTGAGAGCTAACATTTTTGGGGTTCCAAATGCTGCAAAACGACTTGACAGCTGAGGCTCCATAACATAATTAGGCATCCCTCTCAACGAAGACTCTGGATTAAAAGATAATTTCTCCGCCAGTTTCGCCATCTGAAAGTATGTAAAGGTTTATTGTGAACTTACGAAGGAATCTTTAAATTTCGGATTTTTCAGTGACGCTTCCAGTTGGCTGAACTCTTCTTCAGTATCCAAGGGGAATTCCAGTTGACTATTGTCAATAGACGATTTCCCCGTTCCCAAGATGGTCACACCCGTTGACTTATTCACTGAGAGTAATTGCGCCATCATTTTATTAAGGAAATGAAGTTATCCTTTGATTTCTCCTTTAAAGGACTGCATTTCTCCTTTAAGGGACTGTATTTCTCCTCTAATGGACTGCAACTCATTGACCATTTTATTATCTGAATCACCGTTTTCCTTACTGCAAAGTAACTACTAATGAAAAATTACATACGTAGTCTGCTGAACTGGCTGTGGTATAGGTGAAGACGTCGCCACTGGCATTTGTTGAGTGGAAGTGCTGAAGGAGTAATGATATTAAATGAATGCGTTATCTGGCTGTCGGTGCCATAACAGTTTCCATGAGATTGGTTGTTGGGTTTTTCAAAGGCAAACACACTTTCTGCGCCTCCACTGCTTTAAGTTTAACTGAGTTATAAGCGTAAGAGGAATTCTTTGTCTCAACTCTGTATTCTGTCATTAAGCAATAAGAAGAATCTATCTTTGACGTTTGGAATTGGTAAGGGGTAATGTATCCTCGAGATTATCTGTATTAGACAGTCTACCGTGTATTCGTTGGGCAGTCTGCAGAGTACTCTTGGCTTCTACGAAAGAGTCTAATTACAGGAATGTAGTTAATACGGAAGTAGTTACCTAGCTCAGCTAACATTTGACAATCAATTAACACCCATTCCGGTCGAGGTTTTATACATGCCCCAACTTCATAATCTGTTATATTGCTATGATACAAACACATGTCTTCGAACAGCATCCAACTTCTGGCGGCCATGAATAATTCATTGGAACCAGCTTTCCGTAATACAGCATAAGTCTTCTTTTCTTTCTGTAAGAAATGATAAATATGATATAAACAAAATTTACTGTCTTATTAGTCCGCTTGCCATTGAATACAGGAATGCCGACGATTGACACAATCTATCTAAGCAGTTTATGGAAAAGTATGAGGCAATGGCACCGCTACTTCATACCTATCTGTACGAATACCGAAGCACTTACAAGTAATATCTGACGGAAGAATTTCTAGCTTGTTTGGGCTAACTCTTGAGCATTTCCATATCCCAATGTGGGATGACTTAAATGGGTCCTCGAAGAAATCACAAACGTCTGCATAAGGTCTGAATATTAGTCCTTCCTTGTTTATCTGCGTTATCAGACCCGGTCTACCGTGAGCTATGACTAAGTTATCTGGTGAAGAGGAAGTTATAACTGTATTCTTGTGTTAACTATTTGCCTACGTGCATCGATCTCACAGTGATTTATAACTTCATTGTGTACTCCTCCTGAGTTGCAGTCGTGGAACACCTTTTCAGCAAACCGTTGTGCCGCTTGCTTAGCGATTGCATTGTTCGAATGTATAGATCGCCTGATTGTCTGCATATAAGATTCAAATGGGAACGCCGAAAAAGATTCTAACGGTCCCATTTCATTGACATCTTCAGCCAAGTGTTGCAGACAATGGATGTTATAAACGAGGTGCTCCCTGACATATATCACTTCAAACTCATTCAGAAAGTGGATTGACTCAACTCTGCAACATTCTAAGTAATTTCGATAAAACTTAGGGTGAGACAGAAGATAAACCGCAAGACTCAGTCTTGAAGTTGCGGTAGATTGCCAGTGGCATAATGTCCTTAAGTAAAACTGGTCCTAGATACAGGAGGAAGAGGCGACATTCAGCGGCTTTCCACCGGCTAACTTCGGTGATCCCCCTACATTTCCTCGGGAAGTCCCTGGGTGTCATTCCAGCACAAGGTAATATCTTCCCGTCAATATTTTCAAGCATGAGACGGTTGACGTGCATCTCATTTCTTTTAGCTAAGTCTTGCCAGAGACGTATTAGCTTTCTAACTACCCCTAAATATACTAGGTGCATTGGATCAAGAGGGAAGCATTTTACCATATCAATATTTAATTCCTCAAAAATACACTCTCCACGGTGGTGACTTGGCTGCATCCTTTTACGGAAGCTGTCATCAGTTCGTATAGGAAAAAACCATTTCCAAATATCATTCCTCCGTCAACTTTTAATCCGGTTACTGTGCATTTGTCGCAGCCTGAGCTGGCATTATGACCTACTATATATTTCAAGTCCGCTCTAACCGGTGCATCACAGATGATGGCTGTCAAACGAACGTTGAAATGTCTATTAAGTCTCGTTATGTGTATGCCTTGACTTAATATATCCTTCAGTTCAGATACTAAGTCATTGCATAACTCTTTGTAACTGCTGGGTTTGCTAGGACCACCATATATACCTATCATAAACACACTGCTACAGAAGGGTGCCGTAATCCTACCTAGCAGGGGCCATAACTGCTAGTTAGAAGACTTCGAGATGGACAATCCGTCGACATTCAACTGCAGATCAATCAAGTTGCAGGGACTTTCAATCACAGACGACATCTCCATGTAGTGCTGCAAACATTTTTTGAGACCGATGTGGCAATACATTCCTTCTCCAGTAGTCTAGACTCGCAAGACCCACACATTCTCAGTACACTTCTAACAGTTGTTGGTAGTTGAGGCAATTTCGCACGGAAGATCTCCAATATTCTGTTAGCGGCTGCTTGTGAAATGTTCGTGGTGACCAGGATATTCAGAAGCATACTTGTCAATTCATCACGTTCAGAAGAGACTTGTGTGCACATTTGCGAAGTACTAGCACCTGGTGTTACGCTGGTGCACGGTGGCGATGGCACTACCTCGGTTTCATTAGTCATAGTATCAGTGTTCACTGAAGAATGCTCGACTTCAACAGGAAGGACAGCATGTGAGATAGCCTCCGTTGACGTCGACGCTGCTTTTATCTCGGCCATTATCTGCGCATAATGACGTTTATATCTTCTGTAAAATGTTGTGTAATGGCAGGTCAATTGTAGATTACGCTCACGTAATCTTTTCAGGCTTAGTATAGGGTATTTAGTGTTAGACTAGGAGAAAAATAGAAAAGGGACTACAGCGACCACCTACCTGCATGCTGAACAGTTTAAAAGTGCGCGCAAAATGTGTAACTAAGAAAACAAACCCTAACATTGGTTGCGCTGTAATTAACATTGACCGAAGAAATTTTGCAAAAACTGCACTGATTGGTCAGTAAGCTTTAAAATTACTCAAAAGAAAATATAGATTTCACTGAATTACGAAAAATGCATCAGTTAATTCATGCGTTTTCTCCATTTGCAGTAGCGGTGAAGTATTTTCTACCTAAAACGTTTACTTACAATTAATCAGTAGTTTACCAAGTAAAGTAAAACTTTTTCATTGCTTCCCCATTTTGTCCCCATTATTCAGCCTATAGTTGAGATGCGACCACGCGGGCTCTGCACAGATTTATAAACTAACTTGCTGTCCATTGTCTGATCTTTAAATACCACTTCACAATGTCTTATCTCATTCATTTTCCAATAACGTCTTTACTTGATCCTCATTATATCACATTAAACCTAACATTTAACAGCTCTTTATGACTTATTATATTCCTACTCTCTGAAGGGTACGGTTGTACACTAAATGCGAAAAAAGGTATAAAACAAAAACAACTGACACAACTGAGGATAAATGTATTAAAACCGAAAGTGGATATCATGATGGTGCAAACTGTACAGGAAGCATTATACATTGCAAATGAACGTTGTTAGCCTAGGGAGTTTCCTTTATAGATGCATTTATTAATGATACTTGCACTTACCTATTTCATTACAATTTATTGATTCACCTTAGCGCTTTTACTTTTCTAAAACAGCTTTCAATCCCTTTTTAAAGCTGTACTTACCTCAATATTGGCTGGTCATCGTATGCTTACAACCACGGGATGAAAACGAAACGAAGTCGATTTTCCCGCCCAACAAGGAGGACAACTGTACAATTCAATAACTATACAGACTAGTTCAGAAAATGTGTATTTATATATATATCAAATATTTAACTGTTGAAACATTATTAACTTGTAAACAATCTACGATTTGATATTATATCAAACTTGATCGTGCCTTTAAAATTGGCATGCATTTTCATGTAAATTTATATGTTTATATGAGAATATACATTATTATTTTATTCGGGTTTTGACCCTCTATCCAACATATTATCCCCATTTTCCCCAAAATGTCTCCATTATGTAGCCACATTTGTCCCATTGGGTAGGAACGGAATAAGACGAATCAAATTCATAAAAAGCTATAAAATGTTATGTTTAATGGAATGTAATGAGGATCAAGTAAAGACGTTATTAGAAAATGAATGAGATAAGACATTGTGAAGTGGTATTTAAAGATCAGACAATGGACAGCAAGTTAGTTTATAAGATGCCCCATAAATCTGTGCAGAGCCCACATGGTCGCATCTCAACAATAGGCTGAGTGAATGGTATATGTTTAAAGGCAGAAACATGATCTGTCTAGGCGTTCATTATTATCATTTTCAAGATAAAGATCTAAGCCCTCATAAAAATCAGAAATATCTCGAGCCTTCAAATTGCATATTGCTGTTCCTGCAAAATGGGGCGATTCACCTTAGTGACCCCCAACATATCTACTGATCAGCTAACGCCACTTTCCCTCCTTTTTTTGATGTAAGGCTCTGAGACTATGATTATTATGGCTACCGCAAATATATTGCTTGGTACCAGACATGTTCGTACCTCATATTCCATCTCCCTAGCTTTCTTAATGAGTGCTTCGAATAGGTCTCCACGTAAATCTTTATGAACATATTATGTATGTATGCATGCGTCCTAATGAACAGATTACTTCACAAGAAGTTAAAACCTTAAGGAATAAAAAGAATAGGTCTCGTGAATAGTGAAGCAAGATTCAGTAGAACACTATAGTTAGGGTTCAATGTAGGTAGTATGAACTGAAGGTAAGGTCGGTTGGCAGGACTTAGTGTACTTGTATATAGTAAACATCTGACATTGCAAAGTAACTTGCCTACATATATTATAAAAAGACATTAACAGAACCAACAAAATTTTAGCATTTGGTTAACAATACTGCAAAATGGTAGTTAGTCTTACAGGTAGCCGTAAAGTAAATCAATCTATACATAATAAGAGCATAATCAGTGTTATAATTCGTATTATCAAAGAATACATTAGGCTCAATAACTGAGTGTTATAAGGGAAATAAGAGTGGTAAACCAAGAGAACATTTGCTGCGTATTTTAATCATTTTAAGTATTTTAGTGACAATCTAATTTCAAGTATTGAACCTGCATAATCACTAAGCATTATTATGTTAGTCTAGGAACTGG